TATTGGATCTGTTTCAGGTTTGTTGCCTTTATTTATTTCCCCCCTGTGTCTTTTCACTACTTGTCAGGGTAGGGTGTGTGTCTGTAGATATAAGACAAAAAGTGATGGTATGCTAACAAATACAGAATCTGAGCATGGTGTGAGTGGTACAGATTAAAGGGTAGATACTGTCTGGGGTTCAGCAGTAGCAGTTATTTTTTCTCCTTCTTAATATTCTGTGCAGTGCTGTGTGTTCTGCTTTAGTCTGAGAACAATGCTGACAACACACCAATGTTTTAGATGTTGCTCAGTAATGCTTACTCCAATCAAGGACTTTCAGTCTCTCATGCTCTGCTAGTGAGGAGGGGCGCTGGAAGCTGAGAGGAAGCAGAGACAGGACACCTGACCCAAACTAGCCAAAGGGGTATTCCATACCATAGCACATCATGCCCACTATATAAACTTGGGGGAGTTACCTGGAAGGCCCAGATAGCTGCCCGAGTTGGGCCGATAGGTCAGCGAGAGCGGAGCAATTGTATTGAGCACCTCTTTGTGTTTATTGGTTTGTTTTTTCTTTTTCCCTTTTTAGTTTTGTATTCTCTCCCCTTTTAATTTCCTTTATTGTCATTGGTGATAGCAGTAGTATTGTATTGTACTTTTAGTTACTGGACTGTTCTTATCTCAACCTATGGGGTTTACATTCTTTCAGTTCTCCTCCCTACAGTTGTTGCACTTGGTCTCCTCAGTTGTTGCAGCTGGTCTTATATCTCACTTGCAGCCAGCATTTGCTGGTTTGGTGTTTATCAGCTGGGGGGCCTGGGTTTAAAGTAATTGTTTTGTTGTACTTCAAGGTAATGACTTGTAATATAATAGAATCATTGATCATGAAATAGGTCTGGCTTGCGTTTCCAGTGTGCTTGTCACAGCTATAGATTAGGAGTCATATAATGGAAATTTCAAGGAAATACACTGGGGGGGGGTGTATTTTCTCCCTCCTTGGGTCAATCTGTGAAGGAGACATTGTCTCACACTCCCCACTCTCCTACCAGGCTATTTACAACAGCATTTGGGAATTCTGAAGGGTTCTGGATGGGTTTTGGATCACCTTTGAATATCTTTGAAACCTGCCTGCTGCTTTTGCTGGGGATCAGCATGTTGCCACACATAGAGCATTTGTTTTACACACCATCTGACCCTGAGAATGCCTTATTTTGTCTGATCACGAAAGTTAAGGAGAGTCAGGGTCAGGTCTTACCTAAGGTTAAATGATGATCTAAGAGGTCCACCAACATTTTTTACCCAGGGCTTGACAGTTGTGAGTGACAGGGTGTTTGGGACAGTATAGGCAGGTATCTGGGACAGTGCTATCTCCGGTGCTTTAGAACTTCACCCCTGGAAAAGTGCAAAATCCAGAAAAACTAGTAAAACGCTTACTTAAAGTGTGCTGCCACCCTGGTAATACCAGAGAGGGACAAATTATGTCAGTGCGCTAGGGCTTGGCCTATGCCTATGGACCCTCTCTGGAAAAAGACGTCTCTGGATCTGATGGCAAAGCAACAGATAATGCAGCTACTCAATTGCTAAGCACAGCATCAGCTCCAACTCCAGTGACAGACCCTGCAGCCACTCCAAACATGGTGGTAGATAGTGCAGCTAACCCAAAGGACCAATCTGTGCCAGTATCAGTTGCCTCTATAAGCAAGGGGAAAAGCAAACAAGGGCCACAAAGAAAGAGCAACTCGTGCAGTGAAGAAAGATGAAGACCCAATGCACTTCCTACAGTGAATGGCATCTGAATAGGAGTTATTAATATGTGAAGCAGAAGAAGTGGTAACTTCTCGATCCCAGACATCAACTGAGCCGCAGAATAGGCAAAAAGATTTCAGCCATCTTCCAGGTGAGCACATGATCATCTGGTTGCTCATATGCTGGGAAAATGGGGCAGATGGTCCTGAACTAGAACGTAGGGAAGCCAAGCAACTGGGATCGCTTGCTAGGGAAGGGGAATTGGCAAAGCGATTGCAAAAGAGAAATGAGCCCTCGACCTCTGGAGGTGGCTCTTGGCAGCTGTGAAGGAAAAGTTTCCCTACAAGAATGATGTTATGTGTTGCTTAGCTAAGTGGACTATGATAGAGAGAGGCATCCAGTCCCTGAGGGAATCAACCATTCTATTGTAGGGCAGATGCTAGGAATTCAGCTGCAGATCTAGATGAAGTTGAAGGTACATGACACATGTGGTGGAAGCTTACATGGTATGCGCCACCATCATATGTCCACTCATTGGCATCAATGACCTGGCGCGAGGCAACACCACCACCAGTGGATGAAGTGAGTTGTCAGCTTCAAGAACTGGAAGACAATCTCACCCCTTCCATCATTTCAGCTGTGGAAAAACTGTCCCAGAAGTTCAAACAATTCAGAGATGATCTATCCAATCTACCCAGCTCCTCATGTAATCCCCATATAATCAACTGTCAGACAGTGAGAAGCAATATGCCTTGCTTATTGATGGCTCCTGATGTGGTGTGAGAAAGCATCGGAGTTGGAAGGGAGCTGTATGGAGTCCCTTATGGCAAGTTGCAGAAACTGCTGAAGGAGAGGGTGAATCAAGTCAGTTTGCTGAGGTGAAAGCTATCCAGCTGGCCCTGGACATCACTGAATGAGAAAAGTGGACAGTACTTTATCTCTATACGGACTCATGGGTGGTGGCAAATGCCCTGTGGGGGAGATGGCAGAGGTCAACCCATCTGGGCTGCTCCACTGGGGCAAGGTGTAACTGCCCTGGTGCAGAACCTGGTGGTGAAGGTATGCCATGTATATGCTCATGTACCCAAGAGTCAGACCACTGAGGTGCACCAGAACAAGTGGAAAAAGCTGCTAAGACTGAAGTGGCTCAGATGGACTTAGATTGGCAACATAAGGGTGAATTATTTTTAGCTTGCTGGGCCCATGACACCTCAGGCCATCAAGGCAGAGATGCAACATAAAGGTGGGCTCATGATTTGAGGGGTGGGCTTAACAGTGGACACTATTGCCTTGGTTATTCATGAATGTGAAACATGTTGCAATTAAGGAAGCCAAGAGGATGAAGCCTTTCTGGTATGGAGGACGATGGCTGAAGTACAAATACAGGGAGGCCTGGCACATTGACTATATCACACTTCCATCGCCCTGGCAAGGCAAGCGCCATGTGCTTACCATGGTGGAAGCAACCCCTGGATGGCTGGAAACACACTGTGCCCCACGCCACTGTCCAGAACACTACCTTGGGCCTTGAGAAACAGATTTTGTGGCGACACAGCACCCCAGAGAGAACTGAGTCAGACAATGGGACACATTTCTGGAACAACCTGATAGACACTTGGGCCAAAGAGCATGGCAGTGAGTGGGTATATCACATCCCCTACCATGCACCAGCCTCTGGGAAAATTGAATGGTCCAATGGGCTGTTAAAAACTACACTGAGAGCAATGGGTGGTGGGACTTTCAAACACTGGGATACGCCTTTACCAAAAGCCACCTGGTTGGTCAGCACCAGAGGATCTGCCAACAGGGCTGGCCCAGCCCAGTCAGAACTTTCACATATTGTAGAGGGGGATAAAGTTCCTGTGGTGCACATAAAGAATTTGCTGGGGAAGACAGTCTGGGTTATTCCTGCTTCAGGTAGAGGCAAACCCACTTGTGGGATTGCTTTTGCTCAGGTGCCTGGATATACTTGGTAGGTAATGTGGGAACATGGGGAAGTCCAGTGTGTACCTCAAGGGGGTTTAATCTGGGGGGAAAACAGTCAATGAACTCATATGCCATTGACTGCTCTACAGTGCTTCTATAGCCCATCAGCCAGATGCCCATCTCTACCACTCTGGGCTTTGAAAAGAAGGTATGTGCTGTCGTGAACGTCAGTGGAGAATAAAGTCATAAGAAAGCCAAGAGCAGCAACAGAGTGACCTTGACTTCCCTCTGAACATCATCCCAACAGAGAATGAACTTTGATGAAACCAGACAAGCTCAGCAGTGACCAGATGAGTTCAGCAGTGTTGTCAACAGGCAACAACCCAACCCAACACACTGTCTCTCCCGCCCTGAGAGGCTGTTACAAGAGATGGAGCCTAACACTGTGGACTGAGTGAATTCAGCAAACTTTATAGGGATGGTCCATGGCCTAAGGAATTGTATCTCTTTGTGTGTATATATATATGAGACAAAAAGCAATGGTATAGTGAAAAAAAAAATGTGATTTGCACATGACCTAAATGGCATGGATATTCCATGGGTGATACTGTAACGGGTTCACCTGTAGGAGTTATTTTTCTCCTTCTTAGTAGCTGGTGCAGTGCTATTTTCCACTTCAGTCTGAGAACAGTGCTACAAGACACCGATGTTTAAGTTGTTTCTATGTAATGCTTACGCTGATCAAGGACTTTTCAGTTTCATGCTCTGCCAGTGAGGAGGGGCATGGGAAACCAGGAGGAAGCAGGGAAAGGACACCTGACCCAAACTAGCCAAAGGGGTGTTCCATACCACAGCACATCATATCCAGTGTATGAACTGGGGGGAGATACCTGGAAGGCCCATATAGCTGCTGAGGTTGGGCTGGGTATCAGTTGGTGGGTGCTGAGCAATTGTATTGAGCATGACTTTGTGTTTATTGGTTTGTTTTTTCTTCTCCCCTTTTAGCTTATATTCCCCCCCCCCCCTTGTTAGTTCCCTCATCATTGTTACTATTGGTAGAAGCAGTAGCGGTTTTGTGTTGTACCGTAGTTACTGTTCTTATCTCAACCTGTGGGATTTACATTCTTTCGATACTCCTCACCATCCCTCTGGGAGCAGGGTGGAAGAAAAGGGAGAGTGAGCGAGTGGCTGCATGGTTCTGAATTACCAGCTCGGCTTTAACCATGACAAGCAGTCAATGCTGAAGCTCCTTTTATACACCTATGACAGGGTTATTCATCAAAGACAAGACACCAAATCATGGAGCCAGAGGACAAAAGAGGAAGAAAAAGCCAGATACAGGAACAGTGTGTGGTTTCTTTGTCATGTTACTTTATGTAACTTCACAGAACTGTTGCCATAGGAACATTATGCAGGGTACACTTATAGATTGGCTTTATGGGGTTTTCCATGTACCAAAATATTTCTTTAAGTATTTACTGAAACATTAACCTTGCTCCTTTGGATTTTGATTTAGTGTCACACACGGTAAAAAGCTACTGATGAGCTCCCAGCTTGCTGCCTGGTGGTGGAAGCTTTTAACACCAAAGGAGAAAGCCTTCTGCATTCTTGTTTAGGCAGATGAAATCCCAAGTTACTGATCTTCTCTGGGTCACAGCGACAGCATCATCTCCCCCACCACTGAACGGAAGATCTGATTTCTTGAGCATCAAACACACTCTGAAAGCTGTCAATTCACATGACATACTGCATGTTAAATAACTCCAGTAAAACTCCAGTAAAAAGCCATTTTAACTTTGCTGTATTTATATACTATATAAATTTTACATGCTATATATTTACAGTGGGGCAAGTGCTTTTTATCTTTAAAAAAAACAAAGATCAAACTTTAAACATCTCTGAACAACACAGCTTGTATAAACCAGACAGATTATTCAGATGAACTGTATTTAATACAGGTTCCCCACTCATCTCCTGATGCAGGACCAGTGAATAATAAGTGCATCACAGTTTGATAGCATTTAATAATAAAAATTAAAATCACAGTATGAATTTGTCTTTAGCTAGCCACTTCAGAGAGACAAAACCAGCCAACTGAGACTTCAGACAAGTGAGAGTATATTAAGAAAATGTGGTTAAAACATATGGAAGAAAATCAGTGATCATCTTGAGAAATACATTCAAAACTGCATATCTGTTGTTTCACAATGCTGAGAACCAGATGATTTCCTTCCAGATCTTGACTATAACTCGTATGTGAAGTACATTAGTTCCTAGTGTCCGAAAGAACAGGAAAGAAGATGAAGCTCTTGCAAAAAATTCTACCTGTGAAATATTAAATAAGTCTTTAAATTAAATATACAGACTGTCAGTTGCAATTTTTGTAATCCCTGGTTGCTCTTGCACCAGATGTCTAACTTGGAGTAACACAATATGAATAACATAAAGTCAACCTGAGTCTGTAATAAGCAGCATTTGAGATGGTCTATTCCAGGGCCTTATCTCACACTTGTGAGATGTTAATATGGTAATTTACAATGTTCAGCAGTTTTAAGAAGTTTCCACCCTTTTGGATTAGAAGTATGTCTTAAAAAACAAAGTCTCAAGTTCAAAGCTAGAACAAAGTCCTTCATGGTAAAATTCTGTACAGAAATGTTAAGCACCACTTATGATTGGATTTTGTCTTGATGGTAAATGTTTTAATAATAAATTCTAAGTTTTGATGGTCAATATTGGTGATGTCGAGTTCCATGTAAAGAGTCATAGTTTTTGAAGGTAAAGAGTCGATGGTTTTGAAGGTAAGAAGTCAGGATTGAGGGTGGGAAGTAGCTGGTTTTGTTGGTAGGTTTAGGTTGGGTATTGAAGGCTTCCATCAGTAGCTTTGCATCTGAAAGATAAAAGAAAGCAATGTCACTCCCTGCCATGATGTTCAACATCAAACCGTGTCTCAGTGGTTGGGTTTCTGAAAGAGGTCTCAAGCCTGCACACAGCTCCGTCTGCTCTGTGACTACAGGATCCGACACACTCGAGACAGTGGCTTCCCCACATCCAAACTGACTGCATTTTGGATCTATGCTAAGGTGAGGAAACTGTACACAGTATTAGGACAAAGCTACCTCCTTTCATAGCAAGTGGTACTTAGGTAAATTTAGGTGAGGTTTTGTCTAGACAGTATCCTTGTTTTACCAACAGTCTTGTGTTCAAGCTCACCAAATCTCACGCACTAAACCTTCAGAAGCCTGTAGAAACTTGCTGGAGAGAATTTGTAGGAATGCAGGAAAGCAACTCCTTTAAAGCTGCTCCTTCTCCTATCTCACCTCCATTTTCCTTAAATTACACATTATCACATGCCCTTTCCATCCTTATTAATTTACTGGGGAGTCCTGGTGAAAAGGCACAACCTAACAATTCCTTCTTAGCTGTTGTCTGTCCCTAGCCTGTTTGAGAGGTTCCAGGCTCTTTAAAAACACACTGCTGCGGTGGCCTTTTTTGAGAGAGATTCCATTATCCAGGAATTCCTACTTGACACACATTTATTTAACATTTCTAAAGACGGACACTCCACAAGAGGAAGGTCATGAACATCTATGGACTTGAGGAAATACTCAGATTTTCCAGACTTAACAAATTGCTTTTCACAGCCCTCATATCCCACTTGTGTTGCAACCAGTGGATCAAAGTGGGGTTCTATCACTGTGTTTATCAGTTAACATCTCTTACGCCTACACAGACAGCGCACTAATCTTAATGCCCCTGACCTGTATGGTGGGGTGCAAGGCATTTAACTTCTTCCTATACTTTTGACTGGTTTAGAAATAACCAGAGTTGGCCACCTGCGAGCAAAAGCATTCACTAAAGCCAAACCAGATCTAGAGTAGATGAATTTCTTCCGATTACAAAAGAGTTTTCCCTCAGGCCGCTTCTCTATATTTTTAAGACTATGCTAACAGAAAACAATCAGAAGGAACTAAACCAGTGGCAGGAATTTAACATACTCTCCAGGTCTTAAGTTTCAAAGCGTCCTCTGGGAGGTTAACAACTGTGTTTAGGAGAAGACTGAGCTATATCTGGAACCACAGTTCAATATTATCAACAACTGAGGTTCGTCTGAATAAGCAGTCAGCTCCGTTTCTATGTGGTGAAACAGCTGAACATAGTATTTTATTTAAATCAATTACCCTGGCAGACATTTTGGGGAAGACGTTGCTTTACTACAATATTACTAGCCTGGAAGTCTCATGTCATCATCTACAACTTGGACTACTGTACAAAAGCATTTAAAGGTTGTTTCAAGCGTAACAAGTGTCTCTGTCAGTAAAAAGGAGTCCTGCAAACATCCTATGCCTTTTTACCTTTCACATACTCACTGGATGGGATGAAGCTGTATTTCTTGTTGTCACCTGCCCCAGAAGGCTTCCTGTCCTTGTAGTTTTCTTCACTGCCCTGGTTTCTGTATTGCTCACGTAAATAGTTGCCTGAAAAAATGGGTACTCTCTTCTTCTCCTCCTGTGTCATCTTCTCGAGACGAGAATCTAAATATTCTGAGAAGTCTTTCAGTTTCCTGATGTGTTTCTTCTTTTTCTTCTTTTTCTTCCGTTTGCGATTGTCATTGTCAATGCGGAACACAAGGCCATCCAAATCCTGAAGTCTGAGGGAAACATGCAGGTTAAAAATAGGAAAACAGATGCAGCATTTGATGCATGTATGGAATGTTATTTATTTCACCACAGGTGATGACTTGCTGTGTTTCAGCTATTTTGAGTAATTTCTGCACATCTAACTTTGGATGCAACAAACGTTAGCCCTCAGATTAAAGAACAGTAAGTCTTGGTTTGTACACAAATCCTGACAGGGGCTAATTGTGGGATATGTGGAATTAAAAATATATAATTGTTGTAACCAAATCAAGAACACTACGCAGATGTGTTTCTGTCCTTGGTTCTCACAGCAGTGCTTAACCTATTATATGTTAGTCACTAAGGGTCTTCAAGACATGTATCCAATCATAATATGCCAAATCACAGTGTTTGTAAGCAACAGTATTTAAGGAGTTAATGCTTTGCAATAAACGCCTTTTGTCTGATCATACTGATCTCCGAGTCCTTATTTTTTTCTGCCGCAGCGGGCGGCCTAGGGCGATTCTGTGCTCATGGCAGCTAACGGACGGGACGTGAGGACGGCGAGAAGTGGAACCGTTCGAAGCGTTCGATTCCCCGCGGGAGGCAGCAAGCCCCGCCAGGAGCCGCCGCCTCCTCGCCGAGCAAGGAACAACGCCGCTCATGGCTCGGGAGCTGCGGTTTTACCACGATGCGTTTCTGCTCCCAGCGCACGTACTGTTCTTAGGGGAAAGCCCCGAATTCCATGCTGGAGGCACAGGGTGAAGAAGAAACTCTCAACCTGTTTTTCCCTTTTACTATTGGGCTTTAAGTCCAGGGGTAGCTACTGAGCCAGACCGACTGCTCAGTGGCCTAGAGCAGCACCTGTTAGAGGTTGGCCATGCTGAGGAAAAGCCCTGTGGGGACGACAGACTTCTCCCTTCCTGTTGCACTGAAACTCGTGTAGTTCTTCTGCTCCTTGTTTTCAGTGCTGCCCTTTGTGGCTGCAGGGGCCAGCAAGAGCCAGGCAGGTGGCTTTGCTCAGCATGGGAACTGTGCAGCCACTTCCATCAGCCACGGTGCCAGTGCAGTGCAGGCAGAGAAATGTACAGAAAACTTCAGCTCAGCTGGGCTGACTTAAAATTGACACTATTCTGACAAAATAAGCTCTACCTTGCTTCACATTTTGAACCAGTTTAAACTGGTACAAAACTGAACCTCTGTCAACTGAGCAGCAGGTATAATGCTTTCTAGATGAAAACAATGCATAGTTTTAAGATTTACTACTACATACCTATGTAGATATGCTGGCTGGAAAAGCTAGGTCTCTTGTAGACCAAATCCTACAAACTAAGATTTATGGCTTACAAGTTCCATTTCTGTATTTGCTTGCAAAATGTTTCTAGCTACAGTTTGAACAGAAAACGGCTGGTTTTATAGGGCACCACTCTGGACAATGGCATGTGGGAAAGGTTTATCTCACAGAGGCAAAAGGATGCTGGGGCACGAATTATCAGGGCTCATTTGGAGAGCTTTAAACTAGATTCAAAGGGGGATGGGGTTGTAGCTGGGCTTGCCCCAGTGGGGCAGCACTCCAGAACTGATGAAGACTGGGAGGCCTCCTGTAATCCTAGGGTGAAATCGGTGTGCTCAGCTCACTCCCTGAAATGTCTGTACACCAATGCACGCAGCATGGGAAATAAGCAGGAGGAGCTAGAAACCTGTGTTAAGTCAGGAGATTATGATCTGGTGGCAATTACAGAGACGTGGTGGGACAGCTCACATGACTGGAATATAGTCATGGAGGGCTATGTCCTTTTCAGGAAAGACAGGCCAGCCAGGCGGGGTGGTGGGGTTGCTCTTTATGTGCGAGAGCAGCTACAATGCGCTGAGTTCTGTCCAGGGACAGATGACGAGCGAGTTGAGAGTCTGTGGCTGAGAATTAAGGGGCAGGCTGGCAGGGGCAATACTGTTGTGGGGTCTGTTACAGGCCACCGGATCAGGGTGAGGAAGTTGACGAGGCCTTCTGAGGCAGCTGAGAGCGGCCTCACAGTCACAGGCCGTGGTCATCGTGGGGGATTTTAACTTCCCTGATGTTTGCTGGAAGGACTACTCAGCAACCCAGCCACAGTCCAGGAGGTTCCTCCAGTGTACGGATGATAACTTCCTCATTCAAATGGTGGATGAGCCAACCAGGAGAGGTATGCTGCTGGATCTCATCCTCCCTAACAAGGAGGGTCTGGTCGAAGGAGTGAAGGTTGAGGGCTGCCTTGCTTGCAGCGACCACGAGATGGTGGAATTCAGGATCTTGTGTGGTAGGACCAGTAGAATAGCAAGTAGAATTGCAACCCTGGACTTCAGCAGGGCAACCTTTGGCCTTTTCAAGCAATTGCTAGGGGAAATCCCATGGGCAAGGCTGCTTGAAGGTAAAGGGGCCCAAGATAGTTGGTTGATGTTCAAGGACTGCTCTTTCTGAGCTCAAGATGAGAGCATCCCAACACGTAGGAAGTCAAGGAAGAGGGCCAGGAGACCTGCGTGGCTAAATAGGGAATTGCTGGGTATGCTCAAGTGGAAGAGGAGTTTACAGGTCATGGAAGGAGGGGCTGGCCACTTGGGAGGAATATAATGCTGCTGCTAGAGGATGTAGGAAGGCAGCTGACTAAGGCCTCCTTGGAATTAAATCTGGCGAGAGGGGTCAAGGACAGCAGAAGGAGCTTTTTCAAATACATGGCAGATAAAACTAACACCAGAGGCAATGTAGGCCCACCGGTGAATGGGACGGGTGCCCTGGTGACAGAAGATACAGAGATGGCAGAGTTACTGGATGCCTTCTTTGTCTCTGTCTACTCTGCTGGAGGCAGTCCTGAAGAGCCCTGTACCTCTGAGACCTCAGATGAAGTCAGGCCAACGGAGCAGATGAGGAATGGGTTAGAGACCAGTTGAGCAGTCTGGACATCCATAAATCCATGGGTCCAGATGGGATGCACCCGCGGGTGCTGTGGGAACTGGCGGAGGTCATTGCTAGACCACTCTCCATCATCTTTACCGAGTCTTGGGAAACGGGAGAGGTGCCTGAGGACTGGAGGAAAGCAAATGTCACTCCTGTCTTCAAAAAGGGCAAGAAGGAGGACCCTGGTAATGATAGACCAGTTAGCCTCACCTCCATCCCTGGGAAAGTGATGGAACACCTTATCCTTGGTGCCATCTTAAGGCATATCAAGGATAAGAGGGTTATGAGGGGCAGTCAACATGGCTTCACCAAGGGGAGGTCATGCTTGACCAATCTCATAGCCTTTTATGAGGAAATAACACGGTGGATGGATGATGGCAGAGCGGTGGATGTGGTCTACCTTGACTTCAGCAAAGCGTTTGACACAGTCTCCCACAGCATCCTCGCAGCTAAATTGAGGAAGTGTGGTCTGGATGGTCGGGTAGTGAGGTGGACTGTGAACTGGCTGAAGGAGAGAAGCCAGAGAGTTGTAGTCTATGGGGCGGAGTCTAGTTGGAGGCCTGTATCTAGTGGAGTGCCTCAAGGGTCAGTACTGGGACCAGTATTATTTAATATATTCATCAGTGATTTAGATGAGGGAATTGAGTGTACTGTCAGCAAGTTTGCTGATGACACTAAGCTGGGAGGAGTGGCTGACACGCCAGAAGGCTGTGCTGCCATCCAGCGAGACCTGGACAGGCTGGAGAGTTGGGTGGGGAATAACTTGATGAGATATAACAAGGGAAAGTGTAGAGTCCTGCATCTGGGCAGGAACAACCCCAGGTTCCAGTATAGGTTGGGGAAAGACCTGTTAGAGAGCAGTGTAGGGGAGAGGGACCTGGGGTTCCTAGTGGACGACAGGATGACCATGAGCCGACACTGTGCCCTTGTGGCCAAGAAGGCCAATGGCATCCTGGGGTGTATTAGAAGGGGGGTGGTTAGTAGGTCCAGAGAGGTCCTCCTTCCCCCTCTACTCTGCCCTGGTGAGACCGCATCTGGAATATTGTGTCCAGTTCTGGGCCCCTCAGTTCAAGAAGGACAGAGACCTGCTGGAGAGAGTCCAGCACAGGGCAACTAAGATGATTAAGGGAGTGGAGCATCTCCCTTATGAGGAAAGACTGAGTGAGCTGGGTCTCTGTAGTTTGGAGAAGAGGAGATTGAGGGGTGACCTTATTAGCGTATATAAATATATAAAGGGGAGGTGTCACGAGGATGGAGCCAGGCTCTTCTCAGTGGCAAACAATGATAGGACAAGGGGCAATGGGTACAAACTGGAACACAAGAGTTACCACTTAAACTTGAGAAGAAACTTCTTCTCAGTGCGGGTGACAGAACACTGGGACATGCTGCTCAGGGAGGTTGTGGAGTCTTCTTCTCTGGAGACATTCAAAACCCGCCTGGACACATTCCTGTGTAAACTTATCTAGGTGTTCCTGCTCTGGCAGGGGGATTGGACTAGATGATCTTTTGAGGTCCCTTCCAATCTCTAGCATACTGTGAGAAACTGTGAGAAAATGTAAATGCTTCACAGAGAGGGACTGATTTAAGTATTACTTGGTGTACACAAGAGATTTACAGGACATGCTCTGCATCAATCAGTGTTAAAAATATGATGTTCGATGTAAATCCACTGCAATAGTAACGTTTTCATTTATCAGGAGGACCTGTTGCTTCAGCCTGGAGACTAAAATAATGTGTGGAAACTCTGTTGCATAGCTCCTCATTTACCAGGAATACATGGGAGGTGGGTGCTGATATACTTGTTTAAGAGGTTCCGATCTGATTTTGCAGCTGCTCCTGTAAGTAAAAGGCCTCTTTGCCTACCTTTAAGCACACTGATTTAAATTGACAGGTTGAATTTTTCAGAGAGAAAACTCCTCAGCTGCAAAATCGGTTGTTTTTGTAAGGCTGAACACTCATAGCTGTCTTGCTATGAACGTTACTCCATTAAGAGCTGGTTTCCCACCCTGAATTAAGGAGGGATTTTGACCGTTGCCTTCCATGATCTTCGGTCAAATATAAGGCAAGCAGGGGAACAACTCGGATCTCTTCTCAAGTCGATTAATTAGATCAGAGAGATTCGTCAGATGAACTGTATTTCACAGAGGTTCCCAGTCACTGGTCTCCTGATGCAGGACCAGTGCATAATCAAAATTAAAATCACAGTATGAATTTGTCTTTAGCTAGCCACTTTAGGGAGACAAACCCAGACAACTGAGACTTCAGACAAGTGACAGGATATTAAGAAAACGGAATTAAAATATATGGATTTTGACGGTAAATGTTTCAATAATAAATTCAAAGTTTTGATGGTCAACATTGACAAAGTCCAGTTTGGAGATAAAGAGTCGTTTTTGAAGGTAAAGACTCGTCATTTTTGATGGTAAAGCCAGGTTTGATGGTAAACAGTCAGGTCTGGTGGTAAAGAGTCAGTTTTGATGGCAAAGCCAGGTTTCATGGTAAACAGTCAGTTTTGATGGTAGAGTCATTCTTGATGGTAAACAGCCAGGTTTGATGATAAACCATCAGCTTTGATTGTACACAGTTTTGATGGTAAAGAGTCAGATGATAAGACATTGTTGGTTTTGACAGTAGGTTTAGTTTGGGTATCGAAGGATTCCATCAGTGAGCTTTGTATCTGAAAGACAAAAGAAAGCAATGTCACTCCATGTCATGACATTTAACATCAAACCCTGTCTCAGTAGTTAGGTTTCCGAAAAAGAAGTCTCAAGCCTGCACACAGCTCCATCTGCTCTGTGACAATATTATCCAACAGACTTGAGAAGGTAGCTTCCCCACATCCAAACTGACTGCATTTTGGATCTATGCTAAGGTGAAAATTCCTACTTGGGACCCATTTATTTAATACTTTTAAAGACGGACCTTCCACAGGAGGAAGTTCATGAACATCCATGGACTTGAGAAAATACTAAAATTCTGCAGACTTAACAAATTGCTTTCCACAGCCCTCATATCCCACTTGTGGAGACATTGTTCTCACAGGAGAATGGATATTTGGTACATGAACTCTGAATAATCCCAAAAGATACAGCAAGGCTATGAGAGCCCCGAGGAAGCTTAAGCAAGCAAGATAAGAAGAAGCTGGAATTCACCGAGTTATGAGAACTGTGGACTGTTGGCAAGCTTTTGAAGTCAAGTTCTCACACCTGTGCTTAACCAATTATATGTTAGTCACTAAGGGTCTTCCATACATGTATCCAATCATAATATGCCAAATCACTGTGTTTGTAAGCAATAGTATTTAAGGAGTTAAGGCTTTGCAATAAACGCCTTTTGTCTGATCATACTGATCTCCAAGTCCTTATTTTTTCTGCAGCACCCACTTGTGTTGCAAGCAGTGGATCAAAGTGGGGTTCTATCACTGTGTTTATTGGCTAACATTTCTTACGCCTACACAGATAGCACAGTAATCTTAGTGCCCCTGACCTGTGTGGTGGGGTGCAAGGCATTTAACTTCTTCCTATACTTTTGCCTGGTTTAGAAATAACCGGAGTGGGCCACCTGCGAGCAAAAGCATTCACTAAAGCCAAACCAGTCCTAGTCATTGTCAATGCGGAACACAAGGCCATCCAAATCCTGAAGTCTGAGGGAAACATGCAGGTTAAAAATAGGAAAATGGATGCAGCATTCGATGCATGTATGGAATGTTATTTATTTCACCACAGGTGGTGACTTGCTGTGTGTCAGCTGTTTTGTAGTAATTTCTGCACATCTGACTTCAGATGCAACAAACATAAGCCCTCAGATTAAAGAACAGTAAGTCTTAGTTTGTACACAAGTCCTTACAGGGGCTAATTGTGACATATGTGGAATTAAAAATATGTAATTGTTGCAACGTAATCAAGAGCAGTGCGCGGATGTGGTTCTGTCCTGGGTCCAGCAGGCTGGGCATAAACCATGACAGGTTCTTAACTTTGTGCTCCAGATCTAGCATTCTAGTGCTATTCGGCAACATCCTTCCTATGTTTGCTTGACCAACCTAATGACCAGCCTAATGACCAACCCGTAGTCAGATTATCCTATATAAATCAAAATGGGAAAAAGGCAGGCATGAGACACATTCAGAAAAGAGTTAGGGAAAAAATGGCGGATTATGCTGGAATTCCTGCTTACTTGTAATCCTTCTCTTGATATTTATCATCTAGCGGCGTTTCTTTTCCACTTCGCTTTCGCTTCCTTCTGTGTCGCCATGCTTCCTCTTGCCAAGCCTCAGTTTCTCATTTTCCCAGAGAGAGTTGTCAAACTGTGCATGAGCTGAGGCAGGTGGAGGTGCGTGCCCTTCCCGAGAGTGTTTTTCAGACTGCTGCTGAGGTACTGAACAATGACGGAGGTTTCCTCTGTGGCTGCTCAAGTGATGGGCACCTTCCTCTCTGCAGGGAGTGTTGTCAGCCCATCTGCTCTTGCAGGGATCATCCCTCTGTGATTTCGAGAATTGACTCCATTTTTCAAAGTCTTCATCAAAATGAGAGGACTTCCTCTCTCTACCATCTCCTGTTCTACGAAAAGAGTCATAATCCTCGTAATATCTGCGTATTTCCCATCTCCGTGCTTCATCTTGATAGTATCTTTTCCTGCTCCAGGTTCTCTCTCCTTTGGAATGGTAATACCTATTCCTGTCTTGTTCTGTTCTTTCTCTGCTTCGGGATCCATAATCAGAGTATTTTCCTGAGCTTTTGCCATTATTTGGACTGTTTGTTTCATTATGGGAAGGTCTGTACTTGCCTTCACTGCAATAGTCCTGCTTATGATGATACTGCTTATTTGTTTCCATGCTGCGAGAGCACCTCCTTTTGCAGGAACAATCATCCACTTTGCTCCTGCTTTGCTTCTCCTCTTCAATGTCAGAGTATTGTCTCTTCCTTTGGTAGCGCCCTTTGTCAGTTTTTTTGGAGTCGTCTATCTTCACCTCATGTTCACAGGCAAACACTGTTTCCGTCACTATGGTTTCCATAAGACGATCACCCTCAGACTTCTGAGGTGCAGGGACACTGCACAAAATAAAAACACATTTTTCACTTGAAAAAGTTCACCTAAATGATAAATGTCAGGAGCAAAAATCCCTTGAAGTAAAAGATTTGGTGGCTACTGGTAAACTCTGTATGTTTCTAAACTCCCTTACACAGTTTGGAAACTGTACCTTTCTAAAGGGACTCTGTAAGGCAGTCGCTTTAGAAACCGATTCTCACACATTCAGCAGTGCCCAGAGAAGGTGTTTTTCTTCTCTTGAGTTTGCAAGTAGTACATTAAAACCCACACCCAACACATTTGTCTCCCTCTGCTCCCTGCTCTGCCTCGCATCAGTAGCCAACACCACTACCTTCGCTCTCCCCCAACTAGAAAAAAGTCAACTCATTGATTTCCCTCTCTCCCCAGAATGGGAGGGCAGGAGGTGGGAACTGACATCAGGAAAAGAAATCCAATCGTAAAAATGAAGGAAAATAATTCTATGAAGAAACAGAACTATTCTGGGAGGCGTCTGATTGTATTTAGTATCAGAATAATGCCTGTTCAGTGCTCATGTCTGCAACCCTACATGTACAGTGTGGAATTTGCTGTACTGGTTTAAAGCTTTCTATTAGATAGAATTAGTAAATGGGTAAAACAATGATAAACTTGTATGAAATCTTGTTTTCATCAGAGTGCAGTTAATTTACCTTGTTTGCTCTGACAACCTGTTCAGGTGGCTGTAGGCCAGGGACCCCAAGGTTACTTCTTGAGGATTCGGTGACTCAGCTACAGGTATCTACAAGTAAAACACAGACGTTAACAGGCAAAAAAGTACTACCTTTAGTAGAAAATGGTTTGCAAATTTTCCTCATCAGTTATTAAACAAGATCACTTTGCCTTACATGCACCGTTGCTATTTCACACATCACCCCTTCCCCCCCCAATATATTTATGAAACTTATGAAGTACTATCTCAGGTGAAATTTTCTGAAGTTAACAGGTTCTCACATGCCAGTTCAGCAGTGCAAATTCTAACGGGACAACAGCACAAAGTGTTAACGATGAAATTTGTGCTGTTGTTTTCACAGTATTTCACATGAATTAGGAACGTTTTCATGCTCCTGAACACTAAACACACCATAGGTGAGAAGTTCTAGATGGAACAAACAACTCACTGCTTCAAGCAATCCATTTGTTTTAGCAAAGAAAATCTCAGAAGGTTTAGCGGTTGGACTTGGCAAGCAAAATCATCAAGTTTCAGTCCCTTTTGTTTAGTCTTCAGCACTCTCACAGAAAGAATGGGAATTCTGCAATGTGCCGACCACCTTGCCAATTACAATTCCATCGGAAGATATGTTGCAATTCATTTTAAACACGCCATTCGACACCTCAGATTTTTCTGAAGGCTCTGGACTGGAAGGGACTGTAGCATCAGAGCCAAATGTAGGACTTACATTTGCTGGTGGTGGTAAGTAAAAACGACCTTCTCCAAGTGTCAAATCGTAGCGCCTTGGAAAAATAACAGTGATCTCAGTTTAGAGTCTTTCTTTCAATCTATTCTTGGATAAAAACCCCATCTATAATTTTACAAGAACAGATGATATGACACAAAAGACATATATAAAAGACTCAACCAAGACTACAAACTAAAAAACAGACAATGGTCTCCCTACAATGACTGTTCTTGTCAGAGCAGCAACTCACCCTTACACCATCCATGGCATAATTTCTCCTCTGCTATATTAGCCAGCTACATAGAGCAGATACAGAGCAAGTACACAAGCACACCAGTTTAATGCCAAGCAATGAAAAATAGTAAATGACTGCGGAAGGTTCAAGTTAGACAGAACTGAATTACAGAAACACTAAACTTTTCCTAGGAGAGAAAGAAAAACACTTGGAAAAAAAGAAAAGTATCATTAACAGGAAAGTAAATATATTCTGAACAGATTCCGTAGCTGGTATTACCTGATATAAAAAAGTAAATAAGCTTGCTGATTGAGAACCTTTTTGATATCAGAACGCCGCACTATGGCATCATTCATTTGATACCAAAATCCGTTCCCGGCCTGCAAACAAAAGACAGTGGTATCTTCAGACAAAATGCATGTGGTCCAAATGACATCACAGGCGGAACACGACAGCACAAAACGTACCAAACAAATCAAACAGAACGCGTCAGTCAACCTTTCTCCATCAAAACGGTGGTTGCCAGTAACATTTATTTTCTTGGTTTATTTTACCCTGTTAGAAATCAAGCTGATACCCACCTTTATGAAGCAGATGTAGTGTCCTGAATTGCAGTTGGAACCAGAATGAACAAGAACTGCATATAAAGAATACACGAGTGGCTCTCCCGTTGACTGGGACATATATGCTCGAAGATCCAAATATTCAGGGTATTCTACATCCTAAACACAAAACAGGAAGATTCAAAAATCACCCCGAAACACTTCATGGAACAGCCTGAGAAAAACCCTTCTAAAAACACAGGCTAGGATCACACAAATATATTCTTGATTCATTTAAAAATACCTATTCTCAGAAACAATATTTCATAATTTAAGCTGCAGAGAACTGTTTTCTGCAGAATTAGCTCTAAGACTGAGGCATACTCTCATGGTTACCGTAAGCCATAGTTGTTAGATTGACTTTTCTTAGACTATTGTTATTATACTTACAGCCTGCAAACATTAACAACTTTTAAATCATAGAATCATAGAACAGTGAAGGTTGGAAAGGCCCTCTAAGATCATCTAGTTCCAACCCCCTGCCATGGGCAGGGACAGCTCCCACTAAACCATGCCACCCAAGGCTCTGCCCAACCTGACCCTGAACACCGCCAGGGATGGAGCATTCGCAGCTTCCCTGGGCAACCCATTGCAGTGCCTCACCAGCCTAACAGTAAAGAACTTCTTCCTTACATCCAATCTAAACTTCCCCTGTTTAAAACGATTATTTTCCTGGGGAAATGTCCCATTCCAAGAAGATAAAGCTGCTTTACAGCTGCAAATATACCTTGTTGATCTTGGCACCAGTCAAATCTGCAAATCTTTTCAGCGACAGGATGAGAACTTTGGAGGAGCGATGTATTGTGTACCTCTTGGAGGCAGGAACCATGTTTTCGCACCTTAAAAAACAAGCACAGACAAAGGTTTAACAGCAAATTCTTCCCCCTCCCAAAACTCAAACAAGTTTTCATCCCTCGCACAGGCTTATGAACCCATACGCTGCACTTCAGGTTTGTTAATAGACAGAAGGTAACAGCATGTAAGCGGACAGCTCTCCAAAAGAAAGGACTTAGACTTGTCTTTTCATAGCCAAGCAAACACCCGAGCCTCTATCCTAATGACAAAAAGGAAAGACTTCCCAACAATTCAGCATGAGAACCATGCAAGACATTTTTCAGTGAGCCATTAGAGGCTGCTCATGTTAACGACCACCGTTCACATGCACTGAGACCCAATCCCACTTTGTTGCACAGGGAGCACTAGGACCTTCAGCCAGCTGAGGTTGCCTCCCACCCCAAATCGCTGTCCTTAGCTCCGTGCTTCAGCTCACCACGACTTAGCAGACATCCCCTTTAACTCCTGGCCACACAAATATTTCTGTGTGCAACCTCACACGGACGAAGGCTAATAAAACCCAGTGGAGGCAGCAGTAGGAATAAAAGTCTAATATGAGCTAATGGTCACAAGACTTCTATTTCCAAATATTCATGTGACACATTAAATGCCTTCTCTTGGACTCAGATGGAATTAGTAAGACTCTTACTTGCTACACTTATAGCTGTTTTCTCCGCCCAGTTGTTCAGGTTTCACAAACTGTTCCAGAGCCTTGGTGACAGATGTAACGGTCTGGATGAATAAGAAAGTAGAGCACTGAGTCACTGGAAATGCAAAATTTCAAACACTTCCTGGTAGTTAATGGGAGAACCTTGCTAGTTCATCCTCAAGCGACCTACTGTCAACCGGCAACCACTGTGAAGGAGGCAGAAACCTCAGAGTACGCTGAGCATTTACCTCCTGTGGAAATCATGCTACTTTGAAATAAAAACATAAAGTTTGCAGTGCCACAGACAGCATCTGTACTATGCTATGGCCTCAATAATGAGAACAACCAAACCCAGCAGCCTAACAATAGAGGTATAGATGCTGAAGCAGAATAATCGAGAAGTGTTAGAGTAGAGGTGTTTGTGTAGATGTAATAACTGTTTTTACAGCTTAAACCCACTGCAAACATGGAGAACATCTCGATGCCTTCCACACAAGAGCAAAGTCCAATCCACTCCCACCCACCACCAAGCTCTTTCCTTTTAGCAGTGTATATTTTTAGTGTAAAATGACTTTATTTGGAAAGCTCTACCCCTACAGCTCGACCCGTATTCACAAGCCACCTTACCTCTATAGCCAAAGTAATATTGAGGAATGGTTCGTGCCTTTCCGAAACAGCTTGGCAGTTCAAGCATTTTACTGGAATCAAAATACAAATGCTCAACACTGACCGGACAAATTTAAAGTCTTCATACATTTTACTTTAGTCAAAGCACAAAGTCCTTTACTACAGACAAACAGACACAGACCAGTTCAAAGGACAGGAAGATTTTTAACAAGTACCTTGGGATCTTAGATATCCTCCAAATATTTGATAAATAAGTGTGGTGCCTTCAGAAGATGGATCCCATCTGGAAAGAAATGATGAATCAGACCTCCGATGATGCGAGGCTCAGAGTTAACTCTTCAAACAGTTTTTACCAAGGACATTCATTTTAATGCAGTATAGTAAAGAAAGGAGTAAAAGGGGCTAGAGAACAATCTAAAGGTTAAATAATTTGTTTACGCGTACGTGGTGCTTCCATTCAAGCAAGCTTTCTGCAGAGCATCAACAGTGAAGGACAAGAATTCGTGGGCGTCCTCTTGACTGCCGTAACGGAAATGCTCTCCTATACCTAATAAATAAGAAGGTGGTTATATTTATGTCCTAGAAATTGAAAGAAAACTCACGTTTCTAAAAGTATCAAAATCGTTTCTATGCATCAGACAGTGCTTTGAAAAGTTACCAAATATATCAGAAGAAAACCATCTGAAATGACTTACTTTTAAGGCCATTGATGACAGATACAGGATTGATAGCATTATTAGAGAAAAACAGGGCCTGGTTAATGTGAGCTTCCAACGTACACATCGCACAGAAGCCTTTTTCGTGACCTGAAGAGTGAAAGAAGCAACAGCCTAGTTGACAGTCTAGTCAAATAAGCGTTGCTACCAAAAAAGAACAAAACCAAAAAACACTATCCATGAAAAACACTATTGACATTGATGACACAGCGCTAAGAGAGAATGCGTGTGATTTTCAGCATGCTGCTGTTAGGTGAGCTACAGGACACAGAGCTAAGAATCCTCTGGGAGAAAGGAAAGATTAAAGGAAGGTATGTATAGGTATTTCTGCCCTCCTTTTTGCAAGAGGGTTCTTAACTGGAAACATTTTTATCTATGTCAGAAAAACAGTTAAATTTCTAGGAATAAACACTAAGATGCCAACCCAAAAAGCATGCATGTACCTTTGTCAAAAAAGACCTAGAAGGATATGAAAAGAGGCTCCTATGCCAGATCAGTTCGAGTGTAGAATGGAAATGGGAAGAACGCAAATTCAAAGGGTTAAAAAATACAAACCTTTAACTAGAATAAAACCAGTCTAAATTTGAACATTGCCCCACACAAATTTCCATTTCACGTCAGCAGAAATTAGCTCGTAGTGCTTTCTAGGGTGGGGGCTTTCTTAAAGGGTCAATAGTGAACATGTCATTTATTGCAGTATTAGCACATTACGGTATCTAGGCTGCAGAGACAAAGAAGCTACGATGCCAACATCCTAAATTTTACCACCTCTCTACCAGCCGGAAACCCAAATGCCAAAAGTTCATCAAATGCCTTCCTTTACAATGTACTTCGTTATCCGCACAAGGCAAGAAATGGTCTTCATTTGCAATTTTACCATTGTGCATTAAATGAACAAATGCACTTGATATGCCATGCTGAGCTTCCTGTTAAATAAGCGCGGAATCACAGAACCATTTAGGTTGAAAAAGACCACTAAGGTGGCGTGCAAAGCCGGCTTCTACAGGTAAAACGGGAAAGCCACCCGTTTTCTCCACAGAATCACTCTTGTTCTTTCACCTTTGCAGCTGCCCAACATATTTATAATAAGGTTAGAAAGTACTCACATGACTTGCTGTGTTCACGAGACAGCATGTAATTGGCCAGAGGAGGTGTGTACGTCAAACACTGGAGAGTAGCATTAAGGTAACACGTGTTGCCCAGATTCTGCAGTCCAGCTCCAACATTCAGTGGCTGTTGCCAATCCATGCAGATTTTCTCAGGTGGAAAAAGAATTTTACGTGGTGGGGCAATTCCATCGTTAACAACTGCGAGAAAATTAGATTTCAAAAAATATTTACTGTTTCTGTTTGAAAAGGGATGTTTAAAAGGGAGCATTCTTCAGGAGCACCCAGAGGAACCAGGTCTACTCCACCACGCAAAACCACGTAATGAACAGATTGTAAGAACTAGGATGGAAAAGGAAGCGAGTAACTAGCTGAGCAGGTAACCCTACAGATACCAGACCTCTTCCTCAGCAGGATTAGCATTCAAAGGCTTGTGAATAATGGAAGTAAACACAAAGGTAAAATGTACTTTTCTCTGCACAACACAGAAGACCTTGCTGAGTCTGTGTGTTATAAAAACCTCCTCAAAACCGATAGTTACAAATAGATTTTTAAATAGAAAAAACTACAGGTTTTCCAACACCAGCCCCTTCAGTTGCCTTAGGGGACCCACAAAATTGCAGCCTAGTGCTGAAGGCTTTATTCCTCACAAGCCTGTCTTACATCAGTGCAACAAATGAGAACTGTGTTTTCTACCTTTTGGGTTTTTGTTCTGAAGAAAAGGGGAGAAGGACAGAAGACACACTTACTTAGCTCTTCCCGGCCAAAAGGCTTAGGTTTTTCAGAGGTTCTAGAATACACAGAACCTCTCGGTTCTTTCTCTGCATCTAACCCAGGACGTGCTCGGCCCAAGTTTGCGGTGCATGCTGTTGTCTTCTTGGCAGGCTGTTTGTTGGGGCACCTGAATGACCGCTCTTTAAATATCAAAGGTATTCTGCTCTTTAAAGACATTGCTCCTATCTGAAACAGAGGTAAAAGTTCTGGTTAAGACTATCAAGAAGCATTCCAGAAAGAAATTCTGTCACTCAGTATCAAAGAAATAACTTGAAGAACTAAATAGCTGGTAAGAAATACTAAACAAACCCCAAACGACAACAACCAAACTAAACCCCCCCCATCACAAAACTGCGTTTAAGTGGGGAGCAGCGATTACACATTTGTCTCATGACAAAACATTTGCAGCGGTGATCGTAAAACAGTAACATACACAACCACCTAAGTAGATATGAGCAATACAAAACTACTACAGGTAGACATGAAGACACGAAGGCACTTCTATGTCTCTAAATTGCAAACGACACTTCCACAATGCAACACTACCGTAAGAAAAATAACCCAAACCAAAGCAACAACAACAAAGTAAAACCAACACCCCTCAAAAAACCCCAAACCCAACCAAACACACACACACAAATTCGAAATAAGGAACATCTCGAACACAGACACACATACAAAAACACACACACACACACACACACAAACCCGTACACACATGCCATGCTTGTTTACTTTCATCAAAAATAATCCAGCTGCCAACCCCGGAAACCCGCAGGTTAATTATCACTTTAACCTTACCTGGAAGCAAAGGGTCCGAGTTTGTCAGCTCCGGGATCGGGGTCTCCGTCCGCCCAGGGGTTTCTCTGCTCTCCCAAGGCGCAGCTGCCCAGTGTGTCACCGGGGTCTGAGGGTCTGCAAGATAAGCTCTCAGAGTCGGTTGATGTCATAATACCAGTTCCAAATGGAACTGTCACCAGCGCTAGGCCTGAAGCACCCACCCGCTCACCGCCCGCTCTGCCTTTCCGACGGGTTTTGGCCCCTAAAAGCAGTCTGGCACCGCCGCTCTCACGGACCGGCGCGGCACGCAGCATGTCCGCGCTCGGGAGCGGCAAGAGCCCAAACACAGCCAAACCAAAGCGACCCTGACGCGGAAGGCGGGGGCAGAGCGCGGCTCCGAGGAATCCCTCGCTTCACCTCGCCTCGCCCTTCTCACTCCACCTCACGCTGCGACCCAGCCGCGCTCTGCACTGCAGACCCGCGGCAACCACTCTGCGGGGACAGCCGCAGCGCCGCGCCGCCTCAGCGCCCTCCCGCCCCGCCCCGGACCGCCCCGCCCCGCCCCGGCCCGGGAGTCGCTTTCCGGGCTCCCACCTCGAGAGCCGTCCGGAAGCGGGACCGCAGCAGCGAGCGGCCCAGGGCGGTTCTGTGCTCATGGCAGCTAACGGACGGGACGTGAGGACGGCGAGAAGTGGAGCCGCCGCCTCCTCGCCGAGCAAGGAACAACGCCGCTCATGGCTCGGGAGCTGCGGTTTTACCACGATGCGTTTCTGCTCCCAGCGCATGTACTGTTCTTAGGGGAAAGCCCCAAATTCCATGCTGGAGGCACAGGGTGAAGAAGAAACTCTCAACCTGTTTTTCCCTTTTACTATTGGGCTTTAAGTCCAGGGGTAGCTACTGAGCCAGACCGACTGCTCAGTGGCCTAAAGCAGCACCTGTTAGAGGTTGGCCATGCTGAGGAAAAGCCCTGTGGGGACTACAGACTTCTCCCTTCCTGTCGCACTGAAACTCGTGTAGTTCTTCTGCTCCTTGTTTTCAGTGCTGCCTTTTGTGGCTGCAGGGGCCAGGAAGAGCCAGGCAGGTGGCTTCGCTCAGCATGGGAACTGTGCGGCCCCTTCCATCAGCCGCGGTGCCAGTGCAGTGCAGGCAGAGAAATCTACAGAAAACTTCAGCTCAGCTGGGCTGACTTAAAATTGACACTATTCTGACAAAATAAGCTCTACCTTGCTTCACATTTTGAACCAGTTTAAACTGGTACAAAACTGAACCTCTGTCAACTGAGCAGCAGGTATAATGCTTTCTAGATGAAAATGCAGTTTTAAGATTTAGTACTACATACCTATGTAGATATGCTGGCTGGAAAAGCTAGGTCTCTTGTAGGCCAAATCCTACAAACTAAGATTTATGGCTTACAAGTTCCATTTCTGTATTTGCTTGCAAAATGTTTCTAGCTACAGTTTGAACAGAAAACGGCTGGTTTTATAGGGCACCACTCTGGACAATGGCATGTGGGAAAGGTTTATCTCACAGAGGCAAAAGGATGCTGGGGCACGAATTAGCAGGGCTCATTTGGAGAGCTTTAAACTAGATTCAAAGGGAGATGGGGTTGTAGCTGGGCTTGCCCCAGTGGGGCAGCACTCCAGAACTGATGAAGACTGGGAGGCCTCCTGTAATCCTAGGGTGAAATTGGTGTGCTCAGCTCACTCCCTGAAATGTCTGTACACCAATGCACGCAGCATGGGAAATAAGCAGGAGGAGCTAGAAACCTGTGTTAAGTCAGGAGATTATGATCTGGTGGCAATTACAGAGACGTGGTGGGACAGCTCACATGACTGGAATATAGTCATGGAGGGCTATGTCCTTTTCAGGAAAGACAGGCCAGCCAGGCGGGGTGGTGGGGTTGCTCTTTATGTGCGAGAGCAGCTACAATGCACTGAGTTCTGTCCAGGGACAGATGACGAGCGAGTTGAGAGTCTGTGGGTGAGAATTAAGGGGCAGGCTGGCAGGGGCGATACTGTTGTGGGGGTCTGTTACAGGCCACCGGATCAGGGTGAGGAAGTTGACGAGGCCTTCTACAGGCAGCTGACAGCGGCCTCACAGTCACAGGCGGCTGAGAGCGGCCTCACAGTCACAGGCCGTGGTCTTTGTGGGGGTTTTAACTTCCCTGATGTTTGCTGGGAGGACTGCTCGGGAACCCAGCCACAGTCCAGGAGGTTCCTCCAGTGTATGGATGATAACTTCCTCATGCAAATCGTGGATGAGCCAGCCAGGAGAGGTGCGCTGCTGGATCTCATCCTCACTAACAAGGAGGGTCTGATCGAAGCAGTGAAGGTTGAGGGCTGCCTTGGTTGCAGCGACCACGAGATGGTGGAATTCAGGATCTTGTGCGGTAGGACTAGTAGAATAGCAAGTAGAATCGCAACCCTGGACTTTAGCAGGGCAAACTTTGGCCTCTTCAAGCGATTGCTAGGGGAAATCCCATGGGCTAGGCTGCTTGAAGGGAAAGGGGCCCAAGAGAGTTGGTTGACGTTCAAGGACTGCTTTTTCTGAGCTCAAGATCAGAGCATCCCGACACATAGGAAGTCAAGGAAGAGGGCCAGGAGACCTGCGTGGCTAAATAGGGAATTGCTGGGTATGCTCAAGTGGAAGAGGAGAGTTTACAGGTCATGGAAGGAGGGTCTGTCCACCTGGGAGGAATATAAGGCTGCTGCTAGAGGACGTAGGAAGGCAGCTAGGGTGACTAAGGCCTCCTTGGAATTAAAGCTGGCGAGAGGGGTCAAGGGCAGCAGAAAGAGCTTTTTCAAATACACGGCAGATAAAACTAACACCAGAGGCAATGTAGGCCCGCTGATGAACGGGACGGGTGCCCTGGTGACAGAAGATACAGAGATGGCAGAGTTACTGAATGCCTTCTTTGTCTCTGTCTACTCTGCTGGAGGCAGTCCTGAAGAGCCCTGTACCGCTGAGACCTCAGATGAAGTCAGGTCAACGGAGCGGTTTGCCTTAGTCGATGAGGAATGGGTTAGAGACCAGTTGAGCAATCTGGACATCCATAAATCCATGGGTCCAGATGGGATGCACCCGCGGGTGCTGAGGGAACTGGTGGAGGTCATTGCTAGACCGCTCTCCATCATCTTTACCAAGTCTTGGGAAACGGGAGAGGTGCCTGAGGACTGGAGGAAAGCAAATGTCACTCCAGTCTTCAAAAAGGGCAAGAAGGAGGACCCGGGTAACTATAGACCAGTCAGCCTCACCTCCATTCCTGGGAAAGTGATGGAACACCTTATCCTTGGTGCCATCTTAAGGCATATCAAGGATAAGAGGGTTATGAGGGGCAGTCAACATGGCTTCACCAAGGGGAGGTCATGCTTGACCAATCTCGTAGCCTTTTATGAGGAAATAACACGGTGGATGGATGATGGCGGAGCGGTGGATGTGCTCTACCTTGACTTCAGCAAAGCGTTTGACACAGTCTCCCACAGCATACTCGCAGCTAAATTGAGGAAGTGTGGTCTGGATGGTCGGGTAGTGAGGTGGACTGTGAACTGGCTGAAGGAGAGAAGCCAGAGAGTTGTAGTCTATGGGGCGGAGTCTAGTTGGAGGCCTGTATCTAGTGGAGTGCCTCAAGGGTCAGTACTGGGACCAGTATTATTTAATATATTCATCAGTGATTTAGATGAGGGAATTGAGTGTACTGTCAGCAAGTTTGCTGATGACACTAAGCTGGGAGGAGTGGCTGACACGCCAGAAGGCTGTGCTGCCATCCAGAGAGACCTGGACAGGCTGGAGAGTTGGGCGGGGAATAACTTGATGAGATATAACAAGGGAAAGTGTAGAGTCCTGCATCTGGGCAGGAACAACCCCAGGTTCCAGTATAGGTTGGGGAAAGACCTGTTAGAGAGCAGTGTAGGGGAGAGGGACCTGGGGTTCCTAGTGGACGACAGGATGACCATGAGCCGACACTGTGCCCTTGTGGCCAAGAAGGCCAATGGCATCCTGGGGTGTATTAGAAGGGGGGTGGTTAGTAGGTCGAGAGAGGTCCTCCTTCCCCTCTACTCTGCCCTGGTGAGACCGCATCTGGAAGATTGTGTCCAGTTCTGGGCCCCTCAGTTCAAGAAGGACAGGGACCTGCTGGAGAGAGTCCAGCACAGGGCAACTAAGATGATTAAGGGAGTGGAGCATCTCCCTTATGAGGAAAGACTGAGTGAGCTGGGTCTCTACAGTTTGGAGGAGATTGAGGGGTGACCTTATTAGCGTATATAAATATATAAAGGGGAGGTGTCACGAGGATGGAGCCAGGCTCTTCTCAGTGGCAAACAATGATAGGACAAGGGGCAATGGGTACAAACTGGAACACAAGAGTTACCACTTAAACTTGAGAAGAAACTTCTTCTCAGTGCGGGTGACAGAACACTGGGACATGCTGCTCAGGGAGGTTGTGGAGTCTTCTTCTCTGGAGACATTCAAAACCCGCCTGGACACATTCCTGTGTAACCTTATCTAGGTGTTCCTGCTCTGGCAGGGGGATTGGACTAGCTGATCTTTTGAGGTCCCTTCCAATCTCTAGCATACTGTGAGAAACTGTGAGAAAATGTAAATGCTTCACAGAGAGGGACTGATTTAAGTATTACTTGGTGTACACAAGAGATTTACAGGACATGCTCTGCATCAATCATTGTTAAAAATATGATGTTCGATGTAAATCCACTGCAATAGTAACGTTTTCATTTATCAGGAGGACCTGTTGCTTCAGCCTGGAGACTAAAATAATGTGTGGAAACTCTGTTGCATAGCTCCTCATTTACCAGGAATACATGGGAGGTGGGTGCTGATATACTTGTTTAAGAGGTTCCGATCTGATTTTGCAGCTGCTCCTCAGACTTCCGAGATGCAGGGACAAAATAAAAACAAATTTTTCACATGAAAAAGTTCACCTAAATGATAAATGTCAGGAGCAAATTCCCTTGAAGTAAAAGATTTGGTGGCTACTGGTAAACTCTCTATGTTTCTAAACTCCCTTACACAGTTTGGAAACTGTACCTTTCTAAAGGGACTCTGTAAGGCAGTCGCTTTAGAAACCGATTCTCACACGTTCAGCAGTGCCCAGAGAAGGTGTTTTTCTTCTCTTGAGTTTGCAAGTAGTACATTAAAACCCACACCCAACACATTTGTCTCCCTCTGCTCACTGCTCTGCCTCACATCAGTAGCCAACACCACTACCTTCGCTCTCCCCCAACTAGAAAAAAGTCAACTCATTGATTTCTCTCTCTCCCCAGAATGGGAGGGCAGGAGGTGGGAACTGACATCAGGAAAA